TCCCTCCACCCCAGCCAGCCTCCAAAGGACAAGGGTCCCCCTCGCTCCCTGGGGTCGACCCACCCTGGTGCTGCCCCGGGGTGGTGGGGAGGGCTGGGGCAAGCGGGGCCAGGGGCCCTGGTGCATGGCTGGATGTGAGGGGCTGTGTCCTGTCCTGGCAGGGACGCGGCGGTGGACATGGGCAGAGCGCCGGCGCACGCTCTGCTACTGTCGATGGTGCTGGGCTGCTCGGCTGCCTTCACGGACCTCCTGCTGCCGGGCCCCGAGGAGCCAGTGGTCAACGTGGCCGTGGTGTTTGGGGGCACGTCCTACCCCCTGCACATCCGCTCCCGCCTGAGTCCCCAGAGCTTCCTGGACATGCCCCTGGAGATCCACCCCATCACGGTCATCGTCAACAACACCAACCCCAGCACCCTCCTCACCCAGATCTGCAACATCCTCGCCAGCCACAAGATCCACGGCATCGTCTTTGAGGACAACGTCGGCACGGAGGCCGTGGCCCAGATCCTTGACTTCATCTCTTCCCAGACCCAGGTCCCTGTCATCAGCATCAGCGGGGGGTCTGCTGTGGTCCTGACCCCAAAGGTGAGGTGTTTGCTGGGGGTAATTTCCAGAGGAGGGTGGGAGAAATGAGGGGTTTTTAGAGAGACATAGAGATGTGAAATGCTGGTGGGCCGTGGGCTGCAGCTCGTGGGCAGGAACAGGCAGTGGCTGCGAGTGTGGCTGGCTGGGGCGGTGGGATGTGGGAGAGGACTTCAGGGAGGGGTCCCTGTTGGTGGAACATGGGAGAGGACTTCAGTTCCCCATGGAGGGACCTTCTCTGGTGTCCTGCTCCCCATCCCATCCAGACTGTGCCCACCATGGGGTGCTGGGGTCGTGGTGCCAGGGCAGCAGTAGGGTTGGCACGTCCCTGTCCACCCCCTCTGTGCCCCATCGGGGCCAGATCCAGCCGTGAAATGGCCGGGCAGGCAACATGGAGAAGCCTCTCTCTGCTGCAGCAGTCGTCTCAGGTGCACCACGGGCTCAAACGGGATTTTTGGCTTCTCTGCTCCTCGCCGGCGTCAGACACTGTCACTGTCACTGTCACCTGCCTGCAGGGATGCGCCGGC